AAAAAAAAAAAAAATAAAAATAAAAAATAAAAATAAAAATAAAAATAAAAATAAATAAATAAATAAATAAATGACTGCATGGTATTATCAAGGTGTAATATAATTTATTAAACATTCCCCTACAATGAATAACAAAAAGCTCCTATAGTTACCATAGTCTCCTAAACTAATATAAAAGACAAATACATAAATTAGATGTGTCAAAAACAAATTATCTTTACAGCTCTGCATGCCCTGAATTAGAGCACTAAACGGAGAAGTGGGAAGACTTGTGCTAATCTGATGTGGAGTGTGGAGGAGACGTGGGAGTCATATCATTATTCAGCCTCCTCTAGTTAAGGGTAAGTACTAGAAACTTACACCTAACACAGTGTAAGGTGGCATTTCAACTGGTATATGCAAATGTGTTTATTGGCAGAGATTTCACTGAGAGGGCCATTAACCAAACAAATTTCTAATTAAATCAGTTCCACGGATAACTACTGGAAGTCTCTCCTCAAAAGATGGAGCCGTGCCCGTAGCCTCAATATTCCCTTTGTATAGTACACAGTAGGTTGCAGAGGTATCTGAATTTCAGCCACTTATCTCACACACAGATATTCTCACTTTATAGTAGCATGGGATTTAACAGAAATAACTCTGGGTCCACATCGCCTGGGTGTTTGAATTGTGGGTCTGCCATTTATAGCTGGGTGACCTGGGGTAAATTACTTAACTTTTTTGAGCTGAATTTCCTCTTCTTTATCAGTAAGATAGAGATTATAATAATACCTATATCATAGAGTGGTTGTGACTATCAGATGAGTTAACTTATGTGAAGGACTGTATGTTTGTTACTATTAGCAATGGTGTATCTTTTTTATTATATGTATCTCATTTTCAAACTTAATCCAGTTTTGTCATTGAACATTTTAATGCTCAGTTGTGATTTAAATAATTTCATTTGAAAGAAAACCATGGCCCGGCGCGGTGGCTCAAGCCTGTAATCCCAGCACTTTGGGAGGCCGAGGCGGGTGGATCACGAGGTCAAGAGATCGAGACCATCCTGGTCAACATGGTGAAACCCCGTCTCTACTAAAAATACAAAAAAAAATTAGCTGGGCATGGTGGTGCGTGCCTGTAATCCCAGCTACTCAGGAGGCTGAGGCAGGAGAATTGCCTGAACACAGGAGGCGGAGGTTGCGGTGAGCCGAGATCGCGCCATTGCACTCCAGCCTGGGTAACATGAGTGAAACTCCGTCTCAAAAAAAAACAAAGAAAGAAAACCATGTCCAGATATTAAGTCTCTAGTGATTTATGAAACCACGAGACTGAATCTAAAACCCAAAGTCATTCCATCAACGAGGAAGTTTTTTAGCCTTGGCATATCCTACAACAGAGCTGAAGAATACGGCCCTAGGAAAGGCTTTTGTAGTAGCCCAGATATGAGAAACCCTCGAAAGCAGTACACAGCATTTCCCAGAGGAAATCAGACCACTGGTACTTTAGAAATGATTAATAATGTTAATGAGTATTTAGCATTCTTGGAAGCATAGCTTAATTGACTACACAGTCCTAGGGGACTAAGAGAATGAGGCATAAGAATGGAATCTTGGCTTTTCTTGAGCCCATTTTTGAAGCCAAGAAAATTAAACAAGAATAGGAATCCATGTGTCTGAACAGTTCTACTTAAAAAGTCATCAAGAGGCATCAGGTCATAGTAGGATTAGGAAGGGAAAAAAACACAATTAATTTACACTGGGGTTGTACCATTGCTTTAAGTTAAGTATCCTGTCTTTGCTTGTAGATGGAAATTTGGAACACAAAAATTATGCTATCCCTAAATTTCAGGTAGCTTACATAACCTGAAAGCTACTTGCCCTACTTTCAGAGGGTGCTCCTGAAATGGAATTATTTATGGTGGAGAAAATTGTACTTTAAGGTAGAAATAGCTGAGGGAACCACAGACCCATGTGGTTTTTGGAAAAGAAAGCCCTAATTCCTTAGATGCATTATTAAAATTATCAGTGAAGGGGTAATTGGACCCACAGACTCCTTTTGTAGAATTCACTAAGGAACATGAATTAAAGATATTAGCATCTTGGTTGGGTGCCAAGAAATATAACAGTACAAATACAGCCTTGAGGAAACACTTTTTTTTTTTTTTTTGAGACAGTCTCAGTCTTGTTCAGGCTGGAATGCAATGGCATGATCTTGGCTCACTGCAACCTCCACCTCCCGAGTTCAAGCGATTCTCCTGCCTCAGCCTCCCCAGTAGCTGAGATTACAGGCACCCACCACCAGGCCCAGCTAATTTTTGTATTTTTAGTACAGACGGGGTTTCACCATGTTGGCCAGGATGGTCTCGAACTCCTGACTTCA